TATGTTCGAGACAACAGCTCTGCCGTTGTTCTGGATTAAAGTCATGACAGAATACCCTGAGATCGCCACCACAGCACTGAAAAACCGGTTGCCATTTCTGAGTTAAAAATTTCAACACAGTGGATTCATGTTTATTATTATATTAACAATATAAACAATCTACGTAACCCCCCCCCGGGCCGCGGTGAAATTGTCAAGCGTTGACCGGTCCTCAGTGATAAAAAGGTTGGGGACCACTGACCTAAAGCACACAGCACTATATCATTAACTCTTATGTGCTGCAAATTCAGATGACATGTAAGCTGGTACAAACACATCTGTGAGTAGCTGCAGTATGAGCACTAATAATTCTCAGCCAGCCTCTGTATCTGTCAGGCTATTAATTAGGACACAGCTCTTCTGGTCAGAGACCACTGCTCTAACCACATGTTTCACATTCCAGAAGGGGCAGGCTACCACAGCAGTGGTTTTAGTAGTGTTAATAGTACCTGCTGTATTGCAGGCTGTTCTCACAGTATTGCATGTTGGAATTGCATATTGCATAGGAAATGGCTTGGGTTGAAGTTTATCTCTTCTGTGATACTGATACTGCAACAGGAAATAAACTTCTCACATTTAAAGAGCTTGACAGTGTGAAATGGTCTAGTGTACATACTCTGAGCAGTAGTGCAGTTATGTCACAGCATTGTCACTCTCCTCAGATATCTCTCCATAACTCGAAAAAAGCTGTGCCTGACTGGCGTTGAGCTGGGGATATTTATGGCTCAACACCAATCTGGCAGGCTGATTAAGCCTCTTGGATGAGAGGTGAAATGTCTTTGACCTAAAAAGTTTTTTTAAGTTTTGAGGTTTTTCAGCTTACTATGACCTGGATGACTGAGAATCTTCTTGGACACTCTCCATAACTCAATCCTTTTCACAACCTTGTCTGTCTGCTTCACTATTACTCTACTGTACTTGTGTGTCCATCTTCCAATCACTCCTCCCTATCTCCACCTCCATTCTTCTACTGACTAACCCCTCCACCTCACACTCTGTTAGCATCAGCTGGTGCCCTCCTGTTGCTCTCCACAGCCATGGTATGGAAGTATTTAGTTCCCTCAGGTACAGTGTATTTGCATGCGCGTGTTTGTTTTCTCACAAAGGAATGACCTACTTTGAATAGGGCATATTTACATGCTGCTTAATTTGCATTGCTGTTGTTTTGGTTGTCTGTGCTTGTTTGTGTGTGTATGAATGCCCTGCTCAGTCAGTCAGTAGCTTCCTCCAACAGAGAGCTGCAACAGCTGTTGGTATTATTCATGTTTCAGTACTGAGGACACTCTGTAGGATAGCATGTGATAATACTGGCAGGAAAGGGGCTTTAATATGATGGGCATAGTCATCTACATTAACAGCCCTGAGGATAGGTGAGTACTGCTCCAGTGCTGGTCAGTGATAATCACCAGGTCATGATTCATTTTGTCCAGTTTAGATTACTTGTGTATGAATGTGATATAACAATGATTTGCTGGATAACGGAGTGCCGAACAAACCTAAGGGCCGGACATAAGAGAGATTTACTGCTCGAGTTTTAACCATCACAGGTCTGTCCTGAAGCAGATAGAGCTGCAGTCTCATAGGTCATCCTTGAAATGTGGCCTCTTATTTCTAGTCATAGGTCGATGTAATATGTATCATAAAACACAGCTGCAGAGCACTTTATGCTGATGCTGATGTTTGAAGTCATTTGCTGCAGCTTCATCTGTAAATCTGCTCTGGAACCCAGTGATAACTCAACTGGCTAAACACTGTGCAGGACCAGCTGCGTGTTCATGTCTGTTAACAGGTGCATGCCAGCATGCCTCTGTGTGTTTCTGTTTGTTGTAGCAGTAGCTGTGTGTTACCAGAAAGCTGTGATAAATAGTCCAAAAAGGTTCCTGGAGTGTGCGTGTAAAATAAAGTCACCTCTCCCTTCTGTTTGTCCATACAGCTACAGCTTGGAGGGGCTCAGTGGGGTCCAAGAGGAGCTAAGAGCCCCCACCATCCAGGGGCCCCGAATCCTGGAGCCTACAAGGGTACCCCAAAATGACAGTAATGACATAGGCTCCTTGGTTTCTCTGACAGAGGAGCAGGCGGAACTCAGGGAGCGTGGCAGATTTCATGACCTGGTCAGCCAATACGCACACATACAAGTTTGTCCTTTAGATGTCAAATCTTCATACTGCCACACAGTTGACCCTGAGGAATCATAAAAAGCCAAATTCACACAAGAAGAAAAACTGATTTGTAAAGCTTGCATATTAACAAGACCTATGAACAGTAAGGGAAAATTTGAGACTCGTTAGTTTCGGTATTATTAAGAATTAATAAACATCACTTTACTTGAGTGGTCTCGCTCTGTTCTCATTGAATTTATCATACATTGTGAACACAACTTCACAAATCTTGTCTACAGTAGTTTCCCTTTTTAGTTTATTGTTCCTGTTCCCAGTTTAGTGACCCACAATGTTTTGTTTCATATTACTGTATATCTGTGTTTGCTGCTCTTTTTACATTGTCATGCAACCTCAGAATCTGCCTTGTGCCTCTTTCTTCAGAAATCAAGACGCTATCGACCTCTGCAAAACAGCTGTCCTCTTATGACCCTGCCTCTTACCAAGTCTGTATCCATGCTGGCCATCAGCCAGAGAGACATTGATGGTGAGTGACAAGTTGTGAGGCTGCTTTGGTGTTTCTTCACCACATTACATTACTGATCCGGATACACTGAACTTCTCTTTATCAATAGATTTACTTTCTATTATCTTCCATTAAATTCATAATATTTTGAAAATGGCAAGTAGGTTACACTTAATGAGTCAGGACTGTGGTAAATATCTACAAGCTGGTGAATTTCTGCTGTTTAATTCATTATTCATTTTCACAGTGTCCATCCCAAACAGTGAAGGCAAAAAATTTGATGTGTAGGTTGAAATTATTGGAAAGGTATTACTGTAAATGCATGAAAAAAAAGTTAAGTAGAGTGGTTCACATTTTCTCAGGTACTTATTTACATGATTTTTTGATCTTTTTTACCACTTAATTTGTCAAGTATTAAGTGTTAAGTTTCTTTTTACTCTTTCTTGCCCATTCTGCCTGCCTCCCATTCCCCGTCCTCACAGCTGTTACTTCATTTTACTAAGTGGTTTGTTCTGCTGTGGTTCTTTCCTCCCTGCCCCCCAGTGGTGGGATGCCTGAGACATAAGAGGCAAATTTACTTATCTTTTAACCTTTCCCCATCCTCACCAAATCACTGTCTCAGTTCATGTATGGGGATTCTTCATCTAGCGATGATGAGGATAAATTAAGTGAGTACTGTAAAAAAATAGCTGCAGTAACAAATAGCAGTGATGTCAGAACCCCGACAGTAGCTGTTCCTATGAGAGCCCCACATCTTTTCTTCCACACAACCCAGAGTTCACTATGTGAATATGAGATTAATTGTCTTATCCTGCAGAAAAAGGTCCCATTCACATGCAGCCAAAGTTGTATTTTGATCAAGGGACAAAGTTGCGATCTCAGATAAATATTAAACTAATATTTAAATATTTAGCTGAGTACAAAGATTAAAGTAGTCACATATCCACTTGTGGGCAGTACAGTGGCATGGTGGGTAGTGCCGTTGCCTCACAGCGAGAAGGTTCCGGATTCGCGACCTTTCTGTGTGGAATTTGCATGTTCTCCCCGTGCTTACATGGGTTCTCTTCAGGTGCTCCAGCTTCTTACCGCTGTCCAAAGACATGTGGCTTAGGTTGATTTGTAACTCTAAATTGCCTGTAGGAGTGAATGTGAATGTGTGTGTGTGGTTGTTCATCTGCATGTTGACCCTGCAATGGACCAGTGACTTGTCCAGGGTGTACCGCGCCTTTCGCATGATGCTGGCTGGGATTGGCTCCAGCCCCCCGCGACCTCGTTCGGGATTAAGCGGTATAGAAAATGAGATGAGATGAGAAAAATATCCACTTGTGACTGGAGGCTATGTCTTTACACCCCTTGTTTGGAGGTGTCAAACAGCTCTCTGGAACCAGATGCATGTAGACAAGGTCAGCTGAAGGAAAAATGGTTACACTGCAAAAATAATTTCTAATATTCAGTAACAAACTCCACAAATCGTTGTATGTTGAATATTCCCATCAATTATTTGTAAATATGCAGCCTAACCTTTACCTTTCAGATTTACTGTTTTGCACTTGGTGAATGCTCTTTGTAGGAGTTCTGCTTTTGCAGCAACAGAAAGATAGGCACTTAAGCCTGACCATAACTAGGTGCCATAGGCTAGTGAAGCCCAAACATTCTGATACAACAACTTTGTAAAAGAAACCACTAATTACTGCTGATATTAAGCTGTTTATAGGTATGAAGTTTAGAAAAATTCTGAAGAGAAGCATGAATGTCCTTGAAGAGCTGAACATTTTGATACCTGAAATAGCTGAAAGTATGCTAAAGCTGAATTTCCCCATTCATTTGAATGGGGCAAGATTTTCAAAATAAAGCTGAATATTTTAAAAAGTATGAAGCTTAGAAAAAATCCGAATTGAAGCATGAATGTCCTTGAAGAGCTGAACATTTTGATAGCTGAAAGTATGCTGAAGTAGAATTTCCCCATTCATTTGAATGGGGCAAAACTTTGAGAATATTTAGCTTTATTTTTAAAGTATGAAGTTTTGGAAAAATTTTCAATAGATGCATGAATGTGCTTGAAGAGCTGAACATTTTGATACCTGAAATAGCTGAAAGTATGCTGAAGTAGAATATTCCCATTCATTTAAATGGGGCAAAATTTTCAGAATAAAGCTAAATATTTCAAAGGTATGGAGTTTAGAAAAATTCTGAATAGAAGCATGAATGTCCTTGAAGAGCTGAACATTTTGATAGCTGAAAGTATGCTGAAGTTGAATTTCCCCATTCATTTGAATGCGCAAAATTTTGCTGAACAACACTAAATAGTTTAAAAATATGAAGTTTAGGAAAATTCTGAATAGATCCGCACATGTCCTGAAAAAGCTGAACATTTTAATACCTGAATGGTTTTTCTTGCTGAAAGTATGTAGTAGTTAAGTAGTTAAGGGCCAAAAAACCTACAGAAGCTGAATCAGCATCCACACAGTAATAGAGGAACCTTAGTAAAGCTTTAATGGAAGAAGCTACAACCACTGCCCACTGTTAGGCTTGCGCAAGGGTTTGCGGTCTCACAGTGAGAAAACAGTATCTTAATTGAGAATTCAACTGGTGGTGTGCGTGTTTGTAGCCAAAATGTGAGTCGGGGATAGCAGCGTACACTGGAAATAGAACAAACGCCACTTCAAGGTTTAAGAAAAAGCTGGTGTTCAGGAGTCATTTGTGGTGAAGCAGAAGCCAGATGTCTCAGGTAAGTTACCATAACAGATTGGCAACCAGGAGGTCCTAGACGGCAGATTAAGTTGCCCAGCAGACAATCAGAGCAATATGCGACAGCTGCTGTGATCAACTCGAGCCCATAAGTGCCTGTAATGAGAGGATAGACAACGGGAAAAGCAGGAGAGAGAGAAACTGCAGGTAACCCTAACAACTGTGTGTCATAGGCTGTATAGCCAAGACACAGAATAAATGTGATCGGGAATTGAGACCATCATTTGTGTTTTGAGACTTAATGAGATGGCATCTCCATGCAGCCAGAGATTTTTTTTAACCCAATGGCACTGAATATAAAGGCAGTACAGCTTTTGGCCTTGTTGCTGCCCTCATCTGTGCCAGAGTCATTTTGCTGTTGACCTCCACACAACTCTGCAAGGGTAACTACAGGTTAAATACCTTGCTCAAGGGCATTAAAAGTAGTTTGTTCTATTCTCTGTCCAGGTCTTGTAGTCAGGAGAGGAACTGACAACCTTCTGGTCAAAAGAATTTTCTAGCCATTACGCCAGTAAAATCTTTCAGGTGCTGTAAGAAAATCAGGAAGACCCAGTGGCTTGTGTGGTCGGCCCCTAAACAGATTTTCACTGCCAAAAATAGAGGGAGAAAAGATACTTTCTACCTGAAATGATAAATACAGTAAATGGGGGGGGACCTATCCTGTTTATACCAATACCTGAATCTTTGTCCTGCTGCTCACTTCCTGTCTTGTTTCTTTCCAGGTATGAGGTCAGTTTCCAGCACCTCTGGGTCACTAGCATACAGGTCAGTCCAACTCTACATATCCACATGTCCAGAAAATAGTTCTTATGGGTTTTACTGCATCTGGCACCTTTATAGTCCTATAAAGAAACTGTGTGGATTCTCTAAAGCAATCAAATGCTTCTCCTTTGGACCCTTTATAGTGCTGTAAAGAAGAGCTTCAGAATCTATGAATAAATATGCTTTGTGAGTGCAGCTGTTTAAGGATCAAATTAAATATGTGTATGTGTTGTGTGTGCTCCAGTATATCAGAGGAGGAGCCTGGGCCTCTGCGGAGCGACCATGAGGGAAAGGGTGTGACAAAAGTCAGCCGGACCTTCAGCTACATCAGGAGCAAGATGTACAAAAAGACCAGGGTGAGGGAACATGGAGTTTGTAATTATCCTTGATAAAACTGTGGTAAGACTTTAAATGTGTATTTACAATGCTTCACTGTGCACTATTTTTGTACTGTTTCTCAGAGCAGGGCCTTTGCCCAGTGTTCAAGATTCACTCTCCTTCCATAGATTTCTCCTCCTTAAACATTTATTCCTTCAAGCACGGAGAAGTGAACACCAGTCTGTTTTCACATTCATATGTTTGCACAGACTCATGCTGGGTGTTACTCCGAATTTTCTTCTCTCAGCCTCTGAACAGCTCCAGTCGAACAGCTGGGGGTTATGTGTCTTGCTTTAGGGCAAGTCAGTGTTTCCTGTAACTTATCCCATTCAGATTTCTCCATTAGGTTTGGTTTTGAGCTCATAATGTTTGCTTGTCACAGTCCTGAAATTTTACTGTAAGATGTGGTCAAAGCCATGTTTCTTTTTCATTCAAAGGCATGCTAGATGATTTAGTCTTTTTTCCTGTGAGTATAATAGTTCTTTCTTACTGCATAGTGAGGATTGTCCAGATTGAAAATTGTGCACGTGACATAGAGTATTGTAATAGCTGTTAATAAGTTTTGTGAATATAGCTGTCATTGTTTAGACTTGATAATACGGTATCTGGAGGTGTTTGACAGACTGAAAAAGCAGAAATGTTTTCTTTTGTATAAAATATATTTGTACATATGTGATTGCAGACTGTTGGGAGCCATTACACAGCTATAATCTAAATGAGGCATTGTTTGTTACAGTAGAGGTGAAGGCTGTTCAGTCCTTTTTTCAGTCTGCACCATTAGATTTTAGCAAATACTTTCACTTAAAATGTCATGAATTTGTCTTTTTTAATAGGACAACCTGGTGTAGGTCACATCAATGTAGTTAATGACATTATAAGGAACTGTTGTTATGGAATTAATTGGAAGAAAAAAAAGAATGATTTAATATTAAATAATTACAGTATAATTTAATTACCATTAATGTGATGAAACCTACAGAAACCCTGGATAAAAATGCCTTTTTGGGAGTTTACATAGGCACATATAGATAGTGAAATATCTGCATGTTTTCGGTAAATGTGCAACCCTTGCAAAGAGACACTGAAGTGTGAACAGGAAGTAAAACAGAAAGAAAGAGTGGGTCATGGTTTTATAATTTATTCTCTAACCTCAGTCATCGCTTTGCTATTAAAGTGACATTTAATTGTGGCTGCTTGCTCCCTGTCAGATCAAAATTGTTGATCACCATCTTGCAGAAGAAACTTTGTAAAACTTTAATGTTCAAATTGGAGTTATTTTGGCTGCAGTAACCATCATCAGGGTTATTAGACTGGATCTGTAATTAACAAGTGTATTTGTCAAATATGCCTCCTCAGCAACCACAGACACACCACATAAAACTAATTTCTTCATTGAATTAATCTAAACAACACAAAAATCGTCATCCTCTCATCATTACACATCTTTTTTTCTCATAGGCATAATTTAAGAACATCTCAGAAACATTCAAATTTCAAAGTGACTGAGTGCTGATCTTGTTTGTGCATTATGGTTCCTGCGCAGTATTGAAAGTCTGAATGTCCTAGAAGGGGATCTACTTTGGGCAGTGTTGTCATGGCATCCTACCAGACTGAAGGGTCATTGCAGAAATAGCACGTCCTGTAGCAAGCCAGTCACTTCCTCGTTGCAGCTTTCTTGATGGAGCCTCAACACTGCTAGTAGCTTCACACAACCTGGGATGTTATATAGGAGACTCACAGGGAGCCATGGCTTCTCATTGAGATGGAAAGTTTGGCTAGAGGTAGGCTAAAACATTGGTTTGGTTTTTCACTCAAATCGTAGCAAAAGGGACTGTCACAATATCATGCTAAAAGTGACGGTGTTCCCTTCTGGGCTGATGTCTTTTTCCAGTGAAGTTATTTCCTGTTACACTACTTTTCACGAGTACATCATTTTGTTTAAATCTCTGGTTTAGATGTCACAAGTGATTACTTCTCCTATTATGAACACTGGTAGCCAAAAGAAATGGCCTTTGTTTCCTGTGTTTTCTCTACAAGGTGAATAGTTTTTTGTATTTTTTTTTTATATATAAACCAGCATAATATCTAAAAATTATTCTTATGCAATGAAAGATATTTTATTAGATTATAGAAGCTGGTCAGTGCTTTTCACCGCTGGTTAGAAAGTTGTTGTTGCAGGAAGTGAAATTGAATGATAAGTGTTGTAATGTCTAGGAAGCATGCAGGCTTGCTGTGGATCAGTCTGTCTTATCGTGTCTTGAATCGACTTAACCAAATGAGCTCTAGTCAGTCAGAGCTTTGTGGTTCCCTTAAACCAAAAGGCCCATTGCTGCCCATTAAAATGGGCTGAAAGCTTCATTTTCCCTGTTTCCTCTGGGTTTGGGTGGCGGCCCTGTGATGTAAGTCCCAGAGAATAAGAACTCTGTTCTCCTTGGCATATTGTGGTTTTAATGCTTTGTTGCCTTTATGTAACTTTTTTATTTTAAGACTAAGTGTTCTTTCTAGCCTTTGATTCCTTACCTGACTCCAAAGGAGAGCTGCACAAGAATTCCTATATGCCTAGACCGTCTGTTTATGCATAAATGGCAAATAAAATCTTGACTTGACTTGACTTGACTTGACATTATGGGATTGTATAGTGATATGTTGTAGTGTGGCGACTGTGGTTCAGTGGGTAGAGCAGTCGTCTCCCAACCAGAGGGTTGGAAGTTCGAATCACGGTGCCTGCAGTCCACATGTCGAAGTGTCCTTGGGCAAGACACTGAACCCCCAAGTTGCCCCTGATGGTTAGAGCCATCGGTTGAGTTGACACAGCAAATGGCTGCCTTAGTTCTGTACCGGAAACAGATTCCTTGTGTCTGCAACATACTTGGTCAAATAAAGGTGATTATCCTTATCCTCTGCTTGATTCAGGTTAGAAATGAGCATATGCAACTGGAAAAATGCTGAGATGTTTTGTCTGCAGGTAACCTAGCATCACTTTGACTCTTAATCTTTTCTAATCATCTAATTGGCTGGTTTTAAAGTTACAGTAAGCTCATGTTTGGTTTCTGCTCTTAGCTATGATCATTTCATTTGTGCAGGAAAAGGAGCGAGAGAAGAGGGACAAAGACAAGGAGGGCAAGGAGAAGGACAAGAAGACTGTCAATGGTCATGTATTCACATCAGTCAGCTTGGGCCAGGCGGTTCAGTGTTCCCAGTGTAACAAGGCTTTCAACAGCAAAGAGGCTTTCCACTGCATACGTAAGTACCTTTGGTGTTTCTTTTTTGTATTGTTCTTTCATTCCAGTTTTTGTTCTGTTTGTTTGACTGAGCAGAACCCCTGCTGTTTCAAATCTAATCAAAGCCCAATAATTGCTGTGATCATTTATTGAAATAATTCATATTATTATAAGCTTTATTCTTGTGTGAAAACTTGCATGTCAGGAATGCACGACTGTGAACATAAAGTGAGGTGAAAAAAAACTGAATAGGTTCTTGATGGACAGACATCAGTAGGCATGAGCCAGCCACATCAATTTCAGTTAGTACTTTTGGACTGTATAATTTAGAGTTTGATTTATAGACCAAAAAATTTGGTTTAGTTGATCATAATTGAAAATGAATTTATTTTAATGCCTTTACTGATGTAAACAAAGCTTTAACAACACTAGAAAACAATCATTTGAATTAGTGTTGTACAGTGACTGTTAGCATGTCAACAAAAACATTTCTCTACACTTTCTATACCTCGTGGACTGTATGTATATTGGGAGTTTGCTGTAAACAGCTCATACTTGCTTCATGAGCTGGATGAAGTAGTAAAACTCTGCTGCCTCTAATGTCTCAGTTTGACTTTCAGTATATACAACAAAACAGTTTTTGCACTGAAGCAGCAGCCCTAAAGAGGATGTAGTTTATTGCACAAAACTTTGGCGCAACCCCAGAAAGAACTTAAGAAGGAGAAACTAGCTCTGCAATGGATCACAGCGACACAGAGATCCTCTCAATGGGTCTTGCTCAGATACTTCAGTCTGGCAAAAATAGCACATGTTGTGTTCAGTTGTTGTGCTTCAGATTGTTGGAGCCACGGACAGCTCCGAGGGTGTTTACAGGACATCTGTACTCACAGATGTCTGGCTGGTGTCCATTCAGCAGACAAATACAGTGATCCTTTGTCTGAGGTTAGCTGGAATTAGTTTGACTTTCGCTAGAGGCAGTAAAATATCCAATAAAAACAATTAAGAGGATAAAATCGCTGCAGGAATTCAAGTTGGTTTTACTGTGTGGCTTATAATTAATCCTCTAGGTAGATTCTTTTCTCCAAAGCTTTTTCACAGTAACACGAGCACATATTTTCATGTTATGGGGGAAGTGAAAATGGGACTGACTTTGCTGCCTTTCTATACTTCTTGAGTATTGTTTTTGCACACTGAGTGAGACTGTAAGTGTGATGATGTAATCCTAAGAGCGGAAATGTTGTATGCATTTTAGTATGGGTGGGAGTGTTGTCTGACTGTGGGCTTGTAGGTTTCACTTGTGCAACATGTCTGTTAAATAAACTTCTGTCTGTTGGAATCATGACTTTATGAAAGTTGGGGAGTACATTGTGGAGCCTTGTTGTAAAGATCTTGACTCAAACAGAGATGGTTATTCCCTCTCACTGGCACTTCCTGATCAAACACTATCTAAAGGAATCCTGTAGTTTCAAGAGCAAGTGCAGATCTTATTTTAGCAATCTTGAATGATGACTTTTATTCCAAATGGCCATTTGGGAATGTTTATATAATTGAAAATTTCCCATGCAATTCAATGTGTGTGTGTGTGTGTGTGTGTGTGTGTGTGTGTGTGTGTGTGTGTGTCATTCCTCAGTCCCGTTTGTCCACCAGCAGTATTACCCCTCGATTACATCACATGCTCTGCTCCTGCCTGGTTTTCATTAGTGAACTGGTAGAGTTTCCTGGCCAGTTTTGAAAACCAGTCAGAATTTCTAGCCCCCACCTTTCCACACCCCCACCTCCATCACCACTTTCACTGCCAGACTCATGGTATTCACTGAGTGTTATGTTGCCTTTCTTTCCAGATTGTAATGCTTCCGTCCACAAGGGCTGCAGGGACAGCCTGCCTATTTGTGCAAAGGTGAAGATGAAAATAAAAGCTTTCTCACAGTTACTCCATCAGTGATTCTGTAGTATTCTGTGGTCCTGCGCCCAATATTGATTTGAACTCTTTATTTATGCTTCTGTTCTCTGCTTCTCTGGCTAGCTGCCCAAGCAGCAGTTTGCAGTGCCAGATTCAACCAGTCTTCCTACAGTCACAATGAGGAACAAATGTGAGTGTCAAGCCAAACTGAGATTCCATTTGTAACCATCATGGCCAGTAATCATGTACAGATTTATTGCCTAAGCTGCTTGATGCTAACATGAGAATTTCTTTCATTTTAGCAATTATTTGCAACAAAGCTAGCAGCTGTACCTGACAATTCTTTAGTACACTCAGTGTAATGGTTCTGTCTCTTGTGCTATAATTCAAAGTAAACAGAAAAGATATTTGTGCAGGAGGCTACTTGGTGCAAACACCAGTCTCCAGTTTAATAAATTAGGTTTTAGACCAGGTAAAAAGGATCATTACATCCTCCAAGGATTGAACACACCCTGTAGTCTGAACTAATAAAGCTTTTCAAAACCTTCTCGATAATTCCAAATAGCTAAACAAAGTTATTTATCTTTTTTCTTGGAAAGTTGTTATATTGGGGATATATGATTGAACTGTGTGGCAAAAAAAGAGTTTCCTCAGGGACCCTTTGAGGATCTTGTGTGGTTGTTGGAGCATTCAGAGGCTACCGCTAAATGTATTGTATGTTTGTTTCTGGTACAGCTGGTGGGACGAGGGAGCGTCCCCGGTCAGCCATCTTGTCCCCAGAAGACCATTCATCACTGACAATCCCATCATCACAGAGGCAAACCAGCATCATGGCTTTCCATGGCAACAACCTGTCCAAGAGTCTCTCCATAAGCAACATCGCCGGGTGAGTTGGTACGGGTGCACTGTCTGTTTGTGAGTGAATCTACTGTATATATAGAGTGGTATGAGGAGCCTCAGGTATCCATATTTCTATTTAAATGAAATAAGATGTTTCTCTTGCTTTTTAACATTTGTATTGAAGCCATTTCTTCTTGTTATTTTTTTTAGCTTAAGTTAGAACTTACACCATTTATGAAAACAACATTATTAATATAACTTTTATTATTATTGTCTCTCCATTCAGTCCAGTGTTTGATGAAATTCCCATTAAAGGCCTGCGATATCTCTCCCAGTCTACTGACTCCCTCAACAGAACCAACCAGGTCACAGAATCCATGGAATCACTCACTGATGAAGGTCAGCACACACACAAACACACTTTCAACATTTTTTTTTTTTTTACCATTTTTTAATTCTAAATTAACTTGCTGTGATTGAATGATGATTAATTCTGAAAATTAAACAATTAGTGGAAATAAAATAAGTGACAACCTCAATAATTTAAGACTTAAACTGAGCCTCTTATTTGTGAATAACAATCTGCCAGTATAAATGAAAGGTAAATGTTTTAAAGCTATGTAATAGAAAATGATATAGAAAGTCTGATGTGACCATCAGATTGTAAATGCAAGCTGTGTTGTTGGTGCAGGGACGGAGATGATGGACGGGCAGCTAATGGGGGAGTTTGAGCCAGAGGCCAAGGAGCTAGAGGCTGATTCATGGAGTTTAGGTGTGGAGCAGCAGTACCTGCAGCAGCTGGACAAAGAGCTGGTGAAGAGACAAGATGTCATCTATGGTACATCTCATCACCACTCAAGACAATCACAGCATTAAACAACACATGCTCTTAAATTGATCTTAAGACCTTAATGGAAAACAATTAGGGAAATATCAGAAGGTTATTAATTGCAGCTTGCTTTGATCAAGCTTAGTCTCAACTGGGAGGCTCGCCCCTTTTTTGTAAATGAGAAAGGAAACACTGGTCTAGTCATAGTGGACTATTTATGGTTTGTGGTTATTACTGGTGCCTTATCTGGTACCTGGTTATTGCTCATTTTTTTAGTGTTTTTGGTAGTCCCACTTTCCCTCAGCATGCTGTGATGACATTCCCTTCAGTTTGTTTCTTTTGCATCTGCAAGTGTCAATGATATATTCAAGCCACAGATTTAGCATATTTAGATATGGAGTGAGAGACATCCTGTTTGCTTTGAAAGTCCCTGATAGCTTTCGACTAGAATTGACTTGTGGCAAATAAATGTGATTGAAATGATTCTGAAAGGCTCATTCAATAGGTGAGCAGTGGCATGCAAAGTAATGCCATTAATACTTTAAAACTGTGTTAAGACCTCTGAGATACATTTATTGATGCATAGGTCTGTGGAAGGATACGAAACTTGTGATTATGCCATTCTTTCATAAAGTATACCTTCCTGGTATGTCATTCAGAGCTGATGCAGACAGAGATGCATCACATCCGGACGTTACGCATCATGTCGGAAGTCTACAGCAAAGGCCTACAGAAGGAGCTGCAGCCGGGGCTAATGATGGTAGAGAAGCTGTTCCCTGCTCTAGAAGAGCTCCTGGAGTTCCACACACAGCACCTCCAGCGCCTCCTGGAGAGGAAGAGAGAATGCCAGCTGGAGGGGGGAAGTTTGGAGGGAGTAGTTCTCATCAACAGGATAGGAGACATCCTGGTCAGCCAGGTCAGAGGATGGAAGGGCTCATGGGATAAATATGGATCCTCAATTGAATTTTGTCTTTTATATGACTTAGTTGCACAGGAAGCCTGGTGCTTCCATATATAGGAAATTTGTCTGAAAGATTAAAAACAATATACATTATCTGCTAGAGTTTTCCAGCTTTTAGCAGTCCTTAGCTGTGGGAAAAATAATGTAATGATTTGAATCCTTAGTTAATGTTTTAGTATGCTGCATATATGCAGTTATGTTCTTTGAATTAAATATTGTTATAGCTCCCAGAATTCCTCACATTTATCGTTTTTTTTTGTCTGCTGTACTGCTTGCTAGTTTGCATATTAATGTTTGCATTCACGTTTAGTTCTCAGGATCCAACCGTGAAAGTATGAAGAGGATTTACGGAATATTCTGTAGCCGCCACAATGAAGCTGTCAACTTCTACAAGGAGCAACTGACCAAAGACAAACGCTTCAAAGCTTTCATCAAAGTAAGGCCTTCATCTCAGCCCTTCATGTGTTTATCATATATCATATATTTGTCCTACAGTAGTGTTACTTTGTTGGCTAAATCCAATGCAAAACGGTGCAAAAACAGCAAACTGTAAACAACATAGCCTAGGTAGCTAGCAGTGCTACACAAATTTTAATGTAACTATGCAAAATTGGACTGCCGTTTAGTTCAACAAACGTGGCAGATTTTTCTTTAGGAACAAAAGTTGCTCCGCTTTTTGGCTGGAGAGACGGTTCCTCTTCTCATTAAGCACATGAGATGCTGCACTGAAGAGTCTCTCACCGCTGACATGCTTTGTTGTTCATGGGGAGACACCTGATATAACAGCTCCAGCGTGAGTGAAACCTAACCTGTGCTGCGGCCGGGGCGGGGCATTTTCGGCGAGTTTCCGGCCCGAAATAAAAATGGCCTTTTCGGCCGAAAATTTTCGGTGGCCGAAATTTCGGTGCACCCCTACTAAATCCCTTTTCATGCTTTTGCTTTGTTCTGCCGTGTTACTGCTTGTGTGCTGAAAAAATATTTTTCTTCAGGATGCCTGGTTTTCCAGACAGGATTGTTTTTGTAAATAGAATAACTAACAGAGATTGTTTTTTATTATGCTATGTGCTTTCCTATAGTTTTAACCAGTTTTCTTTTTAGCATTTAGCAACTGAACTCCAATTCCCTGAGTGCGTGTGTTAGAAACATTTCTGTAAACACCATATTACCCTTGTTCTCATTATAGCGGCTTTAGTGCTTCCAGCCTTGTATTGCTGTAATATCCATAATCACAGTAAACACTTTCCTAAGTGTTATTACTGTATTGTTCTACAGCAAATGAGTTGAAGGGTTTCTCAGTGGTTATTTGAAACCCTGTCTTGTGTGGGTATGTTTTACTAAAGTACCTCTTGTTGATTCTTTTACTAAAGTACCTCTTGTTGATTCATCCAGAAAAAGATGAGTAGCAGCATTGTGCGGAGGCTTGGTATCCCAGAATGCATCTTGTTGGTGACCCAGAGGATAACAAAGTACCCGGTGCTGATTCAGAGAATGCTACAGCACACTAAAGGTTAGGTTGGTTTCTTCTCACTGGACACCTGTGATTTTACTGTCTGTAAACAATAATTTGATTTGTGGAAACTAGACAGCCTGTCTGCACAGAGTAAAAGAGTTCATTTAAAGTCAAAGATTTGAAAGCAGAAAAGAAAAGTCTCATTCACTATCATATTCTTATATTCAAAAACAAAACTCTCTGCTAGTAGGAACAGGTATTATACTTTCATCTAAAGGAATTCCCCATATACAAGTGACAGAAAAGAAGACAGAATAAGACTAATCATTGTGCTGGTGTCTGGAAAGTGTGGCAACAATTTTATTTGCAGTTAAAACCACATCTGAACATTTTAGTTATTTTTTATAAATGCACAGTTTTAGGGCTGATGAGAAGGATGTGTTTGCGCTGCACTGAGCTGTGTTTGTCACATCCTCAAAACGTGCAAAGGTCCACCTAATCTGAAGCATTGTCAGGCTCAAGTCAGCTCGGGTTAATTGTATATCTGAAACCATACTAGCAAAGTTGTCGAAAGAAATATATTTGCAGAAACAAAACTAAAACCATTGTCCCCATTTAAACAATTCAGAAACTATTTTTCAGTTTGACAACAAATATCCCTGATCTGTCTGATTTTGTTACAATAGACAAATTTAAATGAACTGTAGGTATCACATATAACAGCTCATTTATTCCTTATATTTTTTCAGTATGGGTACATTTTTCCACTTCTGTTCAGTATACCTCATTTGTAAGACTGTGCCAAAGTGTCACTTGTCTTTAGAAAACCTCCCACTGAGTGTTTTTTGGATAATGACCCAAGTGTACTTTGAGGAGCTGAAATATGTCCCATCATATTTTTATCTATTTTAAAGCAGCACTTGTCAGTTGGCCTCCCACTGTATACGTTCTGTCTAATATTTGCCCATAGCCTTTTTTATACGTAGCTCCATGTGGGATGGCAGAGCTCTGACTTAATCCCCAAGGTGCTTTAAGAAGACTCTCTCCTGCCAACTCTGATATATACTGAGGGGAAATAACACCATAGACTCAGTTGGAGACAGTATTTTGGTGCTTTGGAGAACTGATATGTAATAACCACAGGGGTCACATCTTCCAGTTTGTGAGAAATGTTACATATACATACAGACAAGATACAAGGCTTAATTCATGTAAAATGTAGTCCTACTGTGGGGTCTCCATGGTTACTGATCCTCATCCTAACCTTTGATGATCCTGAATCATTATTCGGCTTGTTTGAGTTTGGAGGAAAAGGAAATAAAATGTATATATATATAAATAAATGTTATTTTGAGACACTTAACAATGAGTCAGTCTTTACCCAGATAAACCAGGTGAGTTACATAGTTAGGAAAGTAGCCACTCTGGCTCTCTCCAAAGCTCTCAGGCACATACAGGTAAAACCACAACTGGTAGCATCATTTTATCACACAGACATGATAGTAGTATCAATTTTCTCATCTACAGAAATGGAATAAACACATTTCCAAAATGTTGGTTTATTTTTCTAAAGATCATGGAATCATGGATCATAAGCTCTAAGCTTCTTACTATGAGCAGCGGGGTCCTTATTTAGTCATATAGCTCTAATATTATAGAGAAATTTGTAACACTTGAAACATTCAAGGGCTTTAAGGGAAGAGTGGCTGGCCACAGTGTTTGATTCATTCACTGCGAGTACCCTGCAGCTCTGATACTGTATGCAGATCAAGAGTCAGGTCAAGAGTCTTAATAACATTTCCATTTTATGTTAATCTACTCTGACTACTGTGATACAGTTAAAAAAGATCCAATTTTTAACAAGCAATAGAGGGAAAATGCCAGAAACTGAAATCAGTAGCATGTGTGATTACCAACCTGCATTAATAAGCACATTATACTCTACATCCTAAAATCCCATTAAGATATACTGAATGAACCTTTTCAGGAAAAGGTGATGCAATCCTTTGAACATTTGTGAAAAGAAGACTTATTTAGAATATCTATTTTAAGTAACCCAAAAGCAGAATCTGTGCAGTGAGACTCTGTAGCCAGTGTTGCATACAAATGACCTGAAGTGAAATGCAAGGCGGGCACAAGTGTATCTTTGGAGCTACAACAGTCTTGCTTAATGAAAGCTTCCAAACAACTCGTTCCCCTTCTCTACAAGGACAAATGTGGACAGGACAAATAAATATTCACATAGTCAGTGACCACAAGGGCAGCTGCATTTTTGGCACAGGTCAGTCTCAGCTGTATTGAGGAGTATTTTTGCTTGCAATTCTATTTATGCAGGTACATTAAGAGAAAGAATATTTTAAAAGGCAAACCTTAACACGCATGAAAGAAGTTAAGATGACTGTAAAGAGTTTTGTATGTGTTCACCTCCATCAGCCAAAACCATAAAAAGACTTTCATCACTCTTTGCAGTGGTGTTTGGAGTAATACAGTACATATAGGCACATTAAATGCCAAAATGGGTGCCAAAAATTTACTGCACCTTCTGCTGCGCATAAACGCCTCCTTGGCTGTAACAAATCTGGTTCAGGTGTATTAGTCTGGAGCCATTACTCACCAAATAGACTTGCCTAGCAGCAATGGATGTTTCCTGCTTTCCTCTTTAGCTGGTTTTGCACCTGCTTAAAAATGAATCCTTTAAAATCTTTCCTTTTCACACACAAGTGAAACAAATTGATAGTGGGGTTTGGTTATTATTGAATTAGTATTCAGGAATTGGGATAAATACTTTTATGGTCTGGTTGGAGTCTAAACTTTTGTTGATGTCATACTGCTACACCACTGCCTTTCTAACCTCACATGTTAAATACAGAAAGCGAGGAAGACTACAACGACCTGACAGAGGCTGTTCGGCTCGTGAAGGAGGTGATCACAGCGGTTGATAACCAAGTGAATGAGCATGAGAAGAAATGCCGTCTGAAGGAATTCCACAGCCGCATGGAGAGCAAGTCCATCATGATGATGAAGAACGGTCAGATTTTTGCTAGGCAGGATCTGCTGAGGCGAAGGTTGATCCACGATGGAGCTTTGCAGCTGAAGAACAATCAAGGGAGACTGAAGGGTGAGAACATGCTTAATTAATTATTAATGTATTTTAACTTTTCTTATCCAACCACAATTGCTTTTCTCGACCATGCAGACATCCATGCTCTGCTCCTATCGGATGTCCTTGTCTTCCTCCAAGAAAAAGACCAGAAATATGTCTATGCCATGCTGGTAAGATCCTACTCTTATTGCGTTCCTTACATCTCTTTTTGTCTCTCTTCTCTCTCTCTCTCTCTCCTTCCTTCTGCTGCCCCCCTACCCCATGTTGCCTTCCTCCATCCCTTCAGTAATAAAGATCTCATAAGTGCTGCCACAGAGGTTGTTGTCATATTTTCCTGTTGTTTGTGAAAGCATTATCTGCCCTGTGTAGCTTTCCCAATGTGTAATAATGCCTGCCTCTAGCTAGCAGGTTAGCTGCACCTAATAAAGCTGATTTGGCCCTAGGCATCTAAACCAGCTATTTTTTTTTCCATGTCCACAGGACTCACAGTTTCATAGGATGGCACAAGCATTTATTCACATGCACACACATATACACACAGTATGGGAAATGAAAACAGACTTGTGGCACAGTAATCACATCCATCATTAAAAAGGTTTTGCATGTGTGAGTTGTGGCTGTTGACTTTGAAAAGATTAATAACATGTGGTTCAAAATGGATGACAGCTATGCAAACTAGGAGCCCTGTGATAGACTGGCGACCTGTCCAGGATGTACCCTGGCTCTCGCCCAGTGTCAGCTAGGATAGGCTCCAGCCCCCCTGCTGCCCTTTTCAGGAATAAGTGGTATAAATTGTAAGATTTGAGTTTTATAGACTCTAGTTACTTTATAAGCTTTAGTTACTTCTCATACCTTTAGTTACCTTTCATAACTTTATTTTCCTTGTTTATACATATTACAGCTGTATGGATGATTGTCCAGAACTACTGAGCTTTAGTTATTTTTAACACATTTATTTTCCTTGCTTATATATCTTACAATTGTATTGATGAGAATCAAGTGATAGAAACCAGACAGCCTATTTACATTTTAACAGAGAGAGGTTGGCCTGTTTTACACTCACCTCGACCCACTTAGTATATCCCAAGCTTTGCTTTGTCTTGGGATGTCCTGCAGAGGCTGGGGGCTACAACCTGAGATGACCACCTGGCCAGTTTAACATACTTATTAGCATCACACACACAGGGGGCCTGCAACTCAGGCCACCCACTGTTCAGGGCCCATTGATCAAGACCAAACCACCACCTGAGGCATGCACACACACACACACACACACACATATACACACGCTTAGATTTACCATATTTCAACATGGAAGTGCGAGCTCCGGTTCACACCAAATGACCAATAGGATCACAAACTAATGAAGGTTGCACCCCTGTCCAGGACGGAGCAGCCCAAGAAGATAAATGTGTTATAAAAACTTAATTCAGGATTCAGAAGCCGGTTTTCCTGCGGGAGCTCTATCTCTCTGAATCCAGCGCTGTAAGACTTTCCTGTGATCAGACTTTCAGTAAACTTTCTGTTGATTTTAAACAGTCCTCTCCTGTCTTCACTTCTCGTGTTTCCAACAAAAGAATTGGGTTAATTTCTATCAGAGAATAGATGGATATGTGAACTAGGCTGAGATTTGGATGGAGTAAGTTTCAGTTCTGAGGATCACCAACAGTACACTAAGCCAGTAACTATGAGGGCACAGGTCAGAGCACCTGAACATATTGTATCAGGAGCCAAATCTGATGGCCATCATCCAACTTTTTAGTCTTCTAGTACTCATTCTATCTTTCAGTGTTTCTTTGCTGAGCTGCAGTAGAAAGACAGTAAAACACAGATAGGAAGTTCCATGCAAAAAAATATTAAATGTGGAACATATTCACTTAATTTGAAATCAACAAAGCATTTCTCCATAGAATGAGGATTGAAGATTTGGTTACTTTTTTTTACAGCATAGTCACTGTAGGAAGACAAACATAAAAACAGAGACTTTTGTCTAAACCTCAGACAGGATATTTCAGGAACAACATTGGGATGTGGTTTACAGTTTCAGACTTTTACTGGCTAGAACAGAGATGAAACAGTGGTGCTACTGTACAGAAATGTGCTTTACAGTGTTTGCAGCCTTGTGTTTGCAAGCGAATCTGAAAGCGCTGGTTTATGAGTCAGCTGACTCTAATGTGGAAGATAACCAGAATCTCCTTTTATCCTTTGTTGTCTTCTCTCCCCTTTATTATTATTTATTTTTCCATTCCTGTCACCCAATTCCTCCTATAATCCTACTGTTTTCTAATTGACCTTCCTTCTATCCGTCCTTCTCTTTTTGCTGCACTTTTTGTCCTGCTTTATTCCCCTGCTTTCCTTATCTCCTCCCATAATTACCCTTCTTCTTTTCCTTGCTCCCTCCTTTTCTTTTCTGCTTGAATCCACCCTTCTTCCTGCCTTTCCCACCCTCTCCCCTTCTTCACCATTTGTCTTCTCTCCTCCTCCTCTTTTCCTCCTCCCTCCCATTGTGATCTCTTTTTATTCTTCCTCTTTGTCACCTCCATCAATCCCTCCTTCTATCCCCACCCTCTTCTATCCCTGTAGGACCAGCGCTCCACGGTCATCTCCCTCCAGAAGCTGATCGTCAGGGAGGTCGCTAACGAAGAGCGTGGCCTCTTCCTCATCACAGCAGGCATCGAGAAGCCAGAGATGATGGAGGTCCTGGCCAGCTCAAAGGATGAACGCAACACCTGGATGCAGCTCATCCAGGAAACCATGCAGTCTATGTAAGTAGGGTATATTTGTATATTTATTTAAGCATTTTTACTTAAAGCATGTGGGACTAAATATGCAAATACTTATGCATTTTTGTTGCCACGAGAATTTTTTACATTAAAGTTTTATTTCACCGTATAAGCCCAGACTTGCACCCTGACCTAAACTGTCCATTTTACTCTAACCATAACCTGTACTGCAAAACAAACTCAAAAACAAACCTTCACAGTGCTTAACATTCAGTGCTGGCCTCTTGGAGTTCACCCACAGTGCATCTGTGTTGTAATCTCAGAGCTAGATCCAGCCCAGTTCTGTAGGGAGTAATGTACAGTAAGCTGCGACAGAGCACCATGCTGTCAGGAGGATTAGCACTACTCTACCTGAGGATGGGATGTACTAAGGGACAGTCTAGTTCTGGATTGGCTTCACGGGTTGCTCACTGTAAGCAAAGGGTTATTTGACTGCAGCCAGCGGGAAGGGGGGCTATTTAGTACTGCGTCACTTTCTCACTCTCTGACTTCTGTCAAAATATAAAATTGAGAAGAAGCTATCTATTTTCAGGAAGGAGATAAAAACAATAATAATGTTGTTGCATTTTTTGAGACTGATTGGTTGTGGATTGGGCTGAAGCTAATGATTATTTTAATTAATCTCTTTTAAAAGCATATTTTAGACTATAAAATGCCAGAAAACTGAAAAATGCCTCAAAATTTCCCAGAGCCCATGCTGACATTTTGAAATTAAATCTTCCAATTTCAAAGTTGAAACTAACAAGTTTGTGCATTTTTGCCTGGTAATTATTTAAATCATTAATCTATTATCAAAATCCTTGTTGATTCATTTTCTGTTTGTAATTTGTGATATGGTCTATATAAAAAGCAGACTTTGTAGACTTTGCATTTTGATATTTTCCCAGTATTATTTGAGGTTGTACATGTATTTCCTTGGTTGAGCAGAGAGAAGGATGAGGACGAAGGGATTCCCAGTGAGATGGAAGACGACAAGAGACAACTGGAGACTAAAGCTAAGGAGATGAGAGGTGAGAGTAACATGTTTACAGTGTTTCTGTGAAATAAAATAGGGATAGATTTGCTCCAACTAACACAAAATGTTATCCTACTGTCTGCCTCTCTATCTGTCTGTCTTTGGTGGTCAGATTTATTGAGACAGAAGGACAGAGAGATTATTTCTCTACTGGAAGAAAAGGTGCGGCTCTTCAGGGGGATGTGGGAGGGCTTGAACCTAGGCGAGGAGGCCTGCCAGCAGGTTGAACCATTCTTCAGGTCAGCCAGCAGCCTGGAGCCGCCTAGGGGCTCGTCCATCATGAAGGATGCCCTGCAGGAAGGTAAGGCAGAGAAAGAGAGTGTTTAAAATGTATGTGTTGTTGATGCACTGATCACTGAGCATTCTTAGCAGTAAAAGAACAAACTGAATTGGGCGAGTGAGATTGTGCTTGGTCTCAGTTTCCATCCACATAATTTATAGCAGCTACTTTCCTGGTAGTTAAATGTCATATGAGTTCATGACAATTATACAGTGTCAGTTCTTACAAATAACACACCTTCTATACCACTTTTGTGCTGTGTAAAGCACCTGTTGTGCTTTTAGATAAATTGCTTGTACGGGGGTGTTATTACCTGATGTAGTTTGCTTTCTTACATGGAAGCATGACATATGCCCTGTGGTATGTTAGACAACACTAAGACCCCATTTAGACTTGGTTTTAAAATGTTTCCTGGGTGATCAGATCACGAATAGACACCACTAAATACATGTGTAAACGACCACCAAGACAGATTGTGATCAAATCAGTGAAACCACTTGCTCAGGTGGTCTGTGATGCTTGTCTCCTTCTTCTGTGGTTAAGGAGACTACTGGCACTTGACTTGTAACAGACGGAAGTAATAATTGTACCTATGGTCATTCAATATTTAAGCGTAAGTGTTGCAATTGAAATATGAGCACAAGTCTGGAGACTTATGTTGACAAGTGTAAACAGTGATGTGTCCCAGGTGTCTACTTCTATCTGGATCACTGAGACATTTGTTAATACCAAGACTAAACAGGACCTTAGTAAATTCATGGAATTGATAGGCCCGTTGCTTTCCTTGTTAACCTAGACCAGGGATTTTAAAGTCTGAAACTGTGGGCCCGTCTTTACAAAAAATCAAGGCCACCTCCTTGAAAATAAGAAGTGTCTTTTTGTTTACAGCTTAACAGTTTTAGCCCTAGACAAACAGAAGGTCTGACTGTTTCTCCACATTATTTGCAATGAGTCTTTCTGTACAGAACTTTAAGGGCTAGACCTATGGGAGAAAATAGGATGGCATTTGTCAACATCAGTAGGCACTGATTACAGTCACTATGCAGTAGACTTAAGGCCAGGCTATATTTTTCCAGGCAAATCAAACTGTTGTAAAAACTGGTACTGCTATCTGGTGACAGTGCACATAACAATTTTCATGCTCGTCTTAATCATTACTGTACGTGTACATGAAACTAAACCACCCGAGATTTTGCAGTTTTTGTGTGAGTAGTAGTCCTTTTTTGAAATGTACTATATCTGATTTATAGGATAAGAAAACCTGGTTATTAAGTAAAAATCCATCAGAAGAAAATACAAGGTATCTTTTCTCTGAGATACTCAAAGGTTGAGGGAGACATTGTTTGTGTTTTGGGATGATCTAAAAAGAGTGCATGGAAAGCATTGAAGGAGCCAGAATGTTTTAGGATTTTATTCCAGCTCTTTTTGGAAACCCTGTTCATCAAATGTGTATGAGAAGAAAGTAGCAAGAGCTGAAAGCAGCATGAGGTTAACTGAGAGAGATAATATACAGTACATTGTGACTAACAGAGAAAGACACACACTGCATACTCTGCAGGTTGACCTAAAAACTGCTGCAAAAACATGTATATAACAAGTAACCTATACACTGTAGTAGCAAGTATATAACCAGCCTGCGTGTCAAAAATTATTCATAAACCATTTACTCATAAAATCCTCTTTCACTTGTTTTAAGATGATCTAATTTGAGTTTTGAAAAGTTTTAATTTAGAGTGCCTTCTTTTAAGTTACTGGTCTTTTTAGAATTGTAGAAACAATATGGATTGCATTGTAATTTGTTATTTGCAGTTCAGATTTGTGTAACAATAAAGCACTGTTTCTTGTTATATTGAATTTAGGTAGGTACTTTATTGATCCCACAGTGGGGAAATTTCTGAAACTGGTACTAGAAGCTGGCTTGTGCTGTGTGGCGTTTAGCTTGTTAAAAAATGCACACTTTCTAAATTTAAACAAGCTTCCTCATTCTCCCTGAAAGAGCTGAGTTACTGTAGTTATCAGAGCTATGAGTGACTAAGCACAGATGTAGCTAGTTCTGCAGTGGGCAAAGTGTCTTCCACACAAGTCTAGTTGGTTGAAAAATACCAAGAATTTGTTGTACAGTTGCAGGTTTGGTAACTGTGTGACATTTAAAGAAGTTGTCTGTGCAGCTCTAGCAGGAAAGATGTGTATAGGAAAACTTCTGTAGTAGTTTTCACTTTTAAAACTGATAGTAGGAAAGGTTTAGCTGCTCTGTTGCAAAAATGTATTTTCACCTCCTCCCTCTTAAAGCCTGTGGCAAAATTGTCCTTATTTGATATGTGCATGGGCAGCAGTAATGTCATTTCTTCTGCTGCTTTACTGTCTTCATATGGATACCAGTACTGTCTATGTGGATCCAGAGTTCATATAATTTCAGGCTATAAAAAAATGTGAACTCTTAGTAAAAAAGGCTCTGTGGTTCAAACAGGTTGTCAGTAGTTCCTTAGCAACTGGAAGCAAGAACAGGTTGAAAAAGCCTGGTAGGATTCATGTGTGCAAAGCTGAACTGTAACACAGTTAGCTGGGATAATTCACTTACTGACCTGCACACTGATGTTTGTCTGTGTTTGTGTGTGTGTGGCTGGGTGTGTTTGTGCGCGC